GAACAGGATGCTATTTACCCCCTCATCAAAGTCACTGACGAAGATGTTGAACAGTGCGGGCCCGAGGACCGAGCCCTGCAGAACCCCACTGCCGGCTGGAGAGTTGTCTTCCCTGGGATGGCATTGCTCAGAGGTTCTTTCTCCTGAATTGTGTCTAGTGACCCTTCTGTCTGGGTCATGTGCCACTGGTGCACTTCCCATATTTCTTAACACTTTGCTTCTCAGGAAATGCCTAAAAATAAAAGTTTGTGGCTTGAGTTGCAGGGAAATGGTTAAACAGTCCCTGGATGGGAAGGAGAGGAAGCTCAGAGGCGTTGTTTACCAATTTGCTTGACCTTTTTCTGTTTGCATCTTTGCAGTGACTCACCAACTGGCTTGTGTTGGGGGTTTTTAATCTCCTTGTGAAGTCTTATGACCACCAGCAAATTGTATCTTATCAAAAACAATATTCCTCTTTATCTTGGCTTCCTTTCCCTCCATGTAGCCCTTCTTAAGTGACCACAGGTCAGTGCCAAGTAGAACCTTTCTGCTTAAGGGAAACTCCAGTGGCATGTCTAGGGTCTTTACCCTCTCCCACTGCTGAACTGGAACTTCACCTCCTTCTCCTTTGTCTCTGGAAACATAAATCATTCTTAGAGATGTCACTCTTGGTGTGGAGGTGCTAGGGAGCATTGCTCTATATCTATTGCCAGAGCAGACAGAACTGATATCAAATCCCTTGGTGCCTTGATGATGATTCTCCCTCCCAGACTGAGTGTGATGTTCATGTAGGTGAAAGCAGAATTGATCTAACCTGTTTAGGCATTTTGACAGTTCTAGTGGTAAATGATGTTGCCATCAGATGTTTCTGTTTGCTGACATACTCTCTAAATTGCACAGCTGTTCCCTCATTTCTTTCCTCTAAGGGGATTGACCACATTGCTAGCAAATGATATGAGTCCTGTTCCCATCCCACCCTTTCCCAAGATGCTGCTCAATATTTTTTTTTTGTTTGTAATTTAAAGTTGTGTTCAGATCGAGTCATAGTGTTAAGGGTCTTCTGTGCAGCTCATAGATGTGTGTTTTTTCTGATCAAGTGTTTCGTGGTGTTTTCTATTGGATTCACCCATAGAGTGTTTGACTGCAAATAAAGGCCAGAATTTAAAACACAGAGTGGGTCACTTTACCTCTGTTACAACCCAGCCTGTGAGCTAACTTTGTAAGTGAGCAACCTCTTGCAACAACCCAGATGTCACAGGCTTCGTTGCTCTGATGGGCAGTGAAGTGTGTACATATGCACTCTCTGACTCTTTCACCTTATGCTCTGAGCTCTGCAAGTCCCAAGAGCAGATGATTAATGAATGGCGGGAGCTGTGTTGTGGTTAGGCCTGGAATACCCCTCCCCTCCCAGCTAAACTGCCCTGAGGGCAACTGAAATGGGCAGTATTGGTTGTTTATGGATTTAAGCCAACGTGTGTATTATGCATGTCGTGTACCATGTGGATGCTTTCACATACACTCCCTCTCACCTCCTCCCTCTCATTCCCCTAGGCCACTCTGCAGTTCTGTGTGGTGAAGCCCCTCATGGCAATCAGCACGGTCATCCTCCAGGTCTTTGGCAAGTACCGGGATGGTGACTTTGAGTAAGCAAACTAGATCATTATGAGATGTCCCTGTTGCATGTGCCTAATGTTCTCTGCTTCTGTGAAGGAAAAAGTCTGGCTTCACTAGGATCTATTCAATTATTTAAGGCCATGGGACAGGGTGAGAGGGCATGCATGGGGGAGAAAGGGCTTTTGGGATCAGAGAGGGTGTATGAAAAGGAGGGAAGCAGGGAAGGATGGATGGAGTGGAAAGGAGCTCCAGGAGAGCAGAGCTAGTTGGTGGGTGGACAGGTAGGGATATAGGAGGGGAGAGGAACCTTGTCCCAGGTAAAGGACTAAAGGAGATGTCTGAGCTTCTGAGAGTTCATATTTGCTTTTGCTTTAGTGTCACCAGTGGCTACCTCTATGTGACGATCATCTACAACATCTCAGTCAGCCTGGCGCTATACGCCCTCTTTCTCTTCTACTTTGCCACGCGCGAGTTGCTCAGCCCCTACAGCCCAGTCCTCAAGTTCTTCATGGTCAAGTCTGTCATCTTTCTGTCCTTTTGGCAAGGTGAGGTGCTCCCCCCTTTCCCCAGATAAGAGGTTGAGCAACCACTAGATCTCCTTTTTGGGGGGTCTTGTATCATAATCTTGTTTCTCTGTTGGTTCTGGAGCTCATCAACTTAGAACACTTTGCACAGGCACCAAACTCCTATAGGTCCAGGGTTAGCACATATTTACATAAGGAAATACTGTTTCAGAACAGGCTAATGGTTTACTTAGTTCTTTATCTTGATTCAGCATTGGACACAGTAACCAGAGAAAGCTTGAAAAGTCATAATTCACCTACCCCCAACATGGAAAGAAATTCCTTCCTGGCTCCAGCTGGTCACCAACTCATACTCTGAAACAGGCAGATTTATTTTTCCTTTTAATATAATCTAGCTAGTGAGCATTTCTTAAGAAACGTCTAATCCCTTTTTACCCTTTCTGAATTTAGGAATATTCTGCAGCAGCAAGTGCCACAGTTCATTTATGAGTAATGTTTAGGAGAAAGGTCCACATTGAAATGCTGCTGGTGCTTACATTTGTTGTTTTATAAATTCCCAACATGTCTCTTGCTCTTGTGCTACCAAGACAGGGTGAGGGGGAGCATCTTGCTGGCTTCCTTGGCACAAGTCCCTAAGTTAAGTGAGTTTCCTGCCAGTGCGCTGGCACAGACAGCTGGCCTCCACTGCTCTGTAGGGCAGTATGAGGTCAGCCTTTAATTTTCTTTGTTTGCTTGGCCTTGTCACCTCGCTCAGGCATGCTGCTGGCTATTCTGGAGAAGTGTGGCGCCATCCCCAAGATCCACTCAGCCAACGTGTCTGTGGGTGAGGGCACTGTAGCTGCCGGCTACCAGGACTTCATCATCTGTGTGGAGATGTTCTTTGCAGCCCTTGCTCTGCGCCATGCCTTCACTTACAAGGTCTATGCAGACAAGCGCCTTGATGCACAAGGTAAAGGAGACCATGGCCCAGCAGGGTGCATGTTTGCTTGGCAGCGAGAGGGGTGGGCATCAATATCCCAAACTGATGTTCTTTCCTCAGTGATGTTTGCACAGACCTAATGTGCAAGGGCCCCACAGAACAGAACCTTGTCTCATTTCTAGTGTTCCCTTTTCAGTTTCCCAGTTCTCAACCCGTGACAGCTCATTGCAGACTTCAGAGCTGCGAGACCAGCCTCCTACTGGAGGACAGTGTATTGTCTTCCTTCCTGTGTAATTGCAGGGGAACTCCACCAGGTCAGGTTGTGTAACTGGTACAAGAGACAGGCCTGAGCCAGCTCCTGTTTAACACTCAGGGATGACAATGCAGGGCTTTGTCAGTGCACTGGGTGTGAGGGAGGGGGATCTTCAAGTAGTGGCACTGTGAAGGCAGAGGAGGCCAGAGAACCGGCCTCTGGCCAGAGGAGAAGGAATCGGCAGAGAGTTGTGAGAGCTGGCTTGGATGGAGCATGTTGCCTTGTGTTCAGCCTGTGTGTTTCCCTTTTTTTCCAGATAATGAGATGAGGTTTCCTGCCTGCTAGGGGTGGGGGTTTGTGTCACATGCAGACAGTAGGCTCAGGTGTTCTTGAAGGTCACAAAGCAACTACTCCATCCCAGCCAGCCTCACAGCTCTGGAGGGGCCAAGCCGTTTCAACATGAGGAGAGGTGTTGGGGTGGAAATCAAATAATGGATTCCTGCCCTCTTGCATGATATGCTGTTGTTGTAGAGGCTGCAGGGGTTAAATGGATAGATAAATTGTTAACCAGCCCTGGGGGATGTTGTGGTGGTGGGGCTGAGAATAACTTGCTTGCTCAGCCTATTATTTTCCGTCTTTCTGTCTCTCTCTCCCTTTTTTCCCCTCCCTCTCTCTCTTTCTCTCCCTTGCTTTGGCCACTGGTTTCTGATGCAGCTGTTCCATCATACGGGCCATACGGTAGGTGCAGAGCTCTCTGTGTGATCGTTCCATCTGCTCCAAACTGGGATGTCCTTCAGTTTTATTTCCCATCCCTCCCCTCATCAATATCCTGCCCCTTCCCTACAGAGAGCTACCAGGCAGAAATAGCTGCCCATCCTTAGTGCAGATGCCTGAGGACCCCTGTATTGTAGGTTGCAGTGGCTTGAGCAAATCTTCATTGGTGGGCAGTGGGATGATGTCATGGGATGCCTCTGGCAAGGCTGGCTAGCAGGCTGAGACTTTGGCCTGCTGATGCACTTAAGTTTTAGGGCTAGCTAAAACTGCAGAGCATGTTAACTGGAGCCAGAGAGCTGAAAGCAGTCAACCCTTTTATGTGAGACAGGGTCCCCCTGCCATTGCCAAATGCTAGCAGCCTTTCCGGGCAGTTCAAGGAGCTTGTCCTTTGGAGGTGGGAGAGAATCCGGAAGCTCCTGCTGGAAGTGGTCCCCTGGCAGCTGGGAGGATGGGATTAGTAAAGTTCTAGGATGGGAAGCAGGCACGCTCCCCTTGTGCCTGTCTTCTGTATCCTGCACTTTCCCCACATCCCCCTGATCTTCCTGTGCTTCCCTCTGCCTTGTGTGTGAGGCAGATGCCTCTGTCTTATCTGGAATGCTTCCTTTTGCCTCTGCTGCCTAGATTTGTGTCTCCAGCCCTCTTGCCCCCCATCTCCTCTGAGTTCCCTTCAGAACTGAGGCCCTCAGTCTTGCAGACAATTGCCTTTCAAATGAATGCAAAACTGTAAGCCACCCTCCATTCCTGGATCCTTCCTTTTGCTCACCAGTAGAATGAGGATGCAGGGAAGAGTAGTCAGCAGTTTGTGTTCATATCCCATTTTCACTATATGTCTCCAGTCTGCTGCTGAGGTGAAATTGCTCAGATAGTTGTGACTAGTCCTTTTCCAGTGGGTAGGAGCTTCCTCTCAGAAACCCCACGCCATTTTTATGGCACTTCTTTTGAAACTTACTTATGGTAGCCTGTTCTGGAGTGTCTAGGGTCGGGGTGGGGGTGGTCACTGCATGAACATTCGCTTTTCCCTTCTCCCCTTCCTCCTTGCACCCAGTTCTGTAAGACTTTGCTGTTTCTCATTTGTCTTTTCCATTTTGCCCTTCAGGTCGCTGTGCCCCAATGAAGAGCATCTCCAGCAGCCTCAAGGAGACCATGAACCCTCATGACATTGTCCAGGACGCCATTCACAACTTCTCCCCTGCCTACCAGCAGTATACCCAGCAGTCGACACTGGAGCATGGACCACCATGGCGCAATGGTGGCCATGTCATCTCACGCTCCCACAGTGTCTCAGGCAGCCGTGACAATGAGAAGACACTGCTGCTGAGCTCTGACGATGAGTTCTAATAGGGGCCACCATCCCCAGTTGCCCCCTGAGGCTGATGAGGGATGATGGCTCAGTCTGGTCTGGAATCTTTCTTTTTATTTATTGAACAAACAACACTAGTCATATCACTTCCTGGATGGTGCTCAATGCAGAAGCAAGCACTTCCCATTAGCTTTTTGTGGGTCTAAACATCACGAGCAGGGGGAACGGGTGGCTGGGACTTCATTGTCACAAACCATTTTTCTAAAGCAAAAATCAACCGGAGCAGGTTTTGTTTCACAAGTGACTGATTCAAACCAACAGACATGTATAGCAATGGGGAGCAAAGCCCTAGGAAAGAGTGGACCATGTTTTCCATTTTTCTTTTTTTTCCCTTTTGTGTGTGGGGGTGCAGGAAGCGAGGTCATATCCTCCCACGCCCGCTAAGCGCTATGGAACACAGAAATAGCCAAAAAAGTTTTCTTACCAACTGGGCAGCTAAATTACTTATGCTCCTTTCTCCATAGCAGTTGACATGAATGTAGCTGCTAGTTCCTTTTTCTTTTCTTTATCAGTACTGCTGTGCTAACCTCTCTGAACCCTTTGGGAAGGGCAGTCAAGAGACACCTGTAAGAATTCCTGAGAACCAGACCAAACCCTTGGTCTCCCTGCTACCATGTTCTCTGTCTGCCCAAGGCCATTGCCAGATGCTTCAGAAGGAAACGCCTGTGCATCACCCCCTTGTGCACTGATTTATACAGTTTGATACTTGTGGGGGGGTGGGAGGTAGGGGGGAGCAGGAGATTTTTCCTTCTGGCTCCAGCTGATGATCAAGTAAAGGCCTGCAGGATGGGCAGTTACGAAGCATATTTTCTCTTTGTGGGCAAGGGGTTTTTATGGTTACCAGCTCCTTAGGATTCCCATGTCTCCTACATTGTAGGGGCAGAATTCCTCCATAGTGTGTCCAGCTCCTGCTACTAATGAGACATAGGACTAGCCATGACCAGTAATTAAAGTACAATAGTTGTGGTTAGAAGTGTTAAATATGATTGGTAGGCCATTGGTTCTTTGTTTCCTACTCCTCTTCCTCTTCTCTCAGTTGGGGGAGACGGGGTATCGGAACACTTCAGCCCTAGATGTTTTAGTACAAACGCGTGTGCACCTTCTGATTCAGTTCCAGCACATGCACCATTTTCCCTTCCCCTTTTCTTATAAAAATCCCTCTTTCAGCCTTGCCATCCATTGATTTGCTTTGGAAACTGAAGGAGCATTGCTATAAGGAGGGGGTTTCCCGACAGGAATGTTCTGCTCCCTGCTTGCCCTCCTTTCTGTTGTTTGGGACCCAGCTGGAGTAGTCTGAAATGTTTACATGTTCTGGCCAATTTGTTTTACTCCTTTGTGGTTCCTCCATGATCTTCCAGAGTAGAGTTGCCATAATATGTGATATAGCCCCCACAGCAACTGACACAATAGAGACTAGAGCCAAAACCCATTGAAGTCTATGAGAGTTTTTCCTTTTGGTTTCAGTGGGATTTGAATCTGGTGTTCAGCAGGATGAAGACAAAAAGGACCCCCCAGAAGAGCTGAAAATCTTGCCAGGCACCAAAAAATGCCTCTTGATGGCTTAAAGTTGGGATGTGGGGGGAACAAAGTGCCATAGATTGGTTGGACTTCTGCTACTATTGTGACTATTTGTGCTCATATTAAAACTGCCCACAAAAAAGGAACCAAAACAGGGAGGTGAACGTGAAGCTGCTGCTTTCCTCCAGGCTGTGGGCCTCTCCTCATTCCTTTCTACCACTGCCACTGCTTTTGAAGCAGCCGTTATGGTTTCAGGCCCCTTGGCTAGTTGTGGTTAGCAAGCACATGCTGTCAGTGCACCCAGCCCCTCTGTTGGGGAGGCTTGAGGGGAAAAGCTGGGGCCTGACTGTGTTGCATGTGGCTTACCTTTCTCTTCTGTGCCTTAATTTTTACGTAGATACGTATGATCCTAACAGCAGCAGCAATGCTCCTATAATTGACCACAATCCAAAGTCCAGTTTGACTGGCAGCGAATGGATATGGGCCAAGAGGGGGGCAGGCTTATTGAGAACAGAGTGCGTGTCTCTTGGAGATGTCAGTGCTGACGTGGTTTGCCTTCCATATTATGCTTTTGAGAATAAGCTGGAGGGAAGGTGAATAGGTTTCTGGAACACAGCGGTCCAGGGGTCTGGGAGTGGTGTGGGGGACTCCCTGGGGGGTAGGAGGTCTAAAAGCAAATGTCTGTGGCTACCAGGACTGTCTGCCCTGCAGTCCCATGCAATAGGTTATGATTTTCTTTTTTTTTTTAAATCAGTTACTACATAACTGAAACAAAAAACAATAATCAGACCTTTCACAGGCTTGGTGCAAAATTACCTTTCCCCACCTCCAAGCCATTTGGAAAACAGAGATGAAGTTCAAATGGGTCTCCCTTCCAGTGACCTTTACTTTGATCCACAAGCACCCCATGATGCTCAGATTATTTATTTTATATTCACTCTTTTTTCAGAAGCAGACGCGGCAGCAGTATAGACTCACCTCTGTTAAACTGGGGGTGTCCATTCCCTGTACTTCCAGCTGCAGCACTCCCCCACAACACCTTTCCTCCTGTTTAACTTATTTGTGGCAAGCCTCCCTAATGTTCCTCCATTGTGTTGGAGGGATGGGCTGAAGTTTGGAGTCCCTGGGGTTTCCCCATTGACCCTAAGATATCCCAGCTCTGGGGAAGGATTTTTTTGTTTTAATTATTATTATTTTAAAATGTATGCTGCATATACTGTGCATAGGATCTGGATATTCTTGAAGCTTCCTGTATGTAGGCATTTAAAGCATAACCCTTTTGCACTAGTTACCTTCAAAGGAACGTGGTAAAAAGTAGAGTCCTAGCTACTGCAGCCAGCCGCCATATACCTTTTTTTAGCGCCATATGAAAACATCTCTGCTAAGCTTTCTGCTGTCTCTCAAGATGGGCAAGTGCCAGAACAATGACTGGTGCAGTAGCCACTTTGGCTATTAAAAGTGCACATATGATAAAACTCAGAGCTTGAGATTTTGGCCACTGGGCCCTTTGATCATGCATATCCAACTCACAGTAGCCCAGGGCTGTAAACAAAAGTCAGTCCCACCAATAGACCCCTGGTAGTTCTCTTCCCCTCTCCTTTATATCATTTAACATACCTGTGGAATTTGTTTATTATTTTTCCATGTAGAGTAGTTCTTTGTATATAAATGACTGAAAAAATGTATGATAAATAAGACAGAGTCACCTAGTTTTGTACCTATCGTGTATAACTGATGTGAGCTCAGCGACAAGCCGCTCTCTCTATTTTGGTCTTTGTGACGTTATACTCTGCAGAAACAAGCAAATACAATGACAAATAAAAATATATAGATAATATAGATTGTACTTCAACTGCCTCTGTGTGGTGGTATCTGGAATTTTATCTCCTTTCCCCCTTTTGTTCCCTGCATTATGCTCATCTTTGTTCTTGACTCTCAACAGGGGCCAAAGCCATGCAGTAAGTCTTATTTTGTGAGGGTTGTCTGTACTGTCTCTTGGTCTCTCCAGAGACCACTACCCACCAAGCAACCAGCCCTGTCCACTCACTCCTGCTGTGCATACTGAAAAAATGTCATTTCATCACTATTAGAGATACCAGAGGCTCCCCGTCCCACACTCGAGAGCATAGGCGGTGGAAGGCCGGGGCTAACGGGGCTTAGCCCCCCCCCAGAACTTTTTGCAGCGGCCAGCAACAGCATCATCATCATGGCACTGCCATCCCACAGTGTCTGGCATAGCTTGGCATACATCTGTTCCTCTGCTGCTGTGTACAGCACCAGTGTGTGCTGGCCCTGCAGCAGCCCTGTGAAAAGGAGGGGGCAGGGGTCAGGCGGGCTCAGCTCCCCTACAAATATTTTCCCCCACCACTTATGATCAGGAGCCTGCCTGTGACTGATTCTGAGATTATGCCAGGACATGCTTCAAAATGTATCCATGTGACCAGCCAGTGGGTTGTGTGCGCTAAGCAGGAACAAGTGGGGAGGGCTTATTTCTCTACAGCAGTCTCAGGATGACTGCAGAGCCTGTACAGCTGTACGCTTAGTCCCTCCACTGAGTGAAAGCTCCTTGCTGCTGTCCTTGTCAGTCCAGTCTCCTTATGGCAGCACTTAGGTCTGTTGACAGGTGCGGACACCCATAACAATTGAACTGTTCCAAAATGTCACTTATCTGAAACCAGTTCAGTTGTTGCAGCACAGGGTTCAGACACAACCATTCCCAAATGCCCCTGATTTAGGGACAGTGTTCACAACTGAAGTGCTGGGCTCTCGCACGGGGGGATGGGTCAGAATAGCACTTGATTCTCCAGGTACACTGTTGAAGCTTTCAAAGTAGGTTTAGATTGATTTAACAGGCTTCAGCTTTGAACTTCATTTAAACTGTTCTAAGTGTTACATGTGCTCGTACCCAATGTGTTAGGACATATGTTGAATTATAACAGTGCTGGTCCCAGGAGATTTGGGCTTTTATTCTGGGCTAATCATTTGGATCAAAAATGGATGCTTATTTTGAGTTGGGAACTTTCAGCACCTGGAATCTAATTGTAGAGGATAATGAGCACTCAAGGCTCCAGCCAAAGATACTGAGGGCTGCAGGTGGTCAGCACTGCTGAATGAAATGCTATGGGTCCAACACCACAGATTGACAGACATTGGGAAGTTTAGGCTTCAACCTCTCTGGGCTTCTTTGAGCTGGCAAAGCTAAGGGCTGTGAGATCATTTGTTCCTGAACAAGTGACTAAGGAAAAGTGAGTGCCCCCCGATGATAGATTTATTGTTACAGCCTGGCCATGTACTTTTTAGCCAGAATGAAATGGGTGATGAAGATGGTAAAGGTGTTACGCTGGGGTCTTTCTCCATGTTCTATGGACTTGCTCCTGGAGAAAAGAGGGTATATGGTGAAGCAGGTCTTCACCAAACTGACTCTGTGCTTTCACATTGCTGGGCATTTTGGGGAAAGCTGTTGCCCCAAGTGCTGGATCCTGCTGTGAACACTGGAGCTAGTGCAGGGGCTGCTGCAATGGGATGATGGGGGACTGCATGTAAAATGGAGAACAAGACCAGGTTTTTTGCGTAAATCTGATATCTTCTATTAGACCAACTCAAATAGTTGGAAAAACTCTTCTTTACAAGCTTTCAGGTACAAATACCCTTCATCAGGCTGAGGAAGCATCTGCAGATGGTCTGTGTTCTTCCTGGATGGAGTAGTAAAGGCTTGGAGCCTGTACCTGTACGTGTGGCTGTGTGCTTTCAATGGCATGTGTTAATCCCCTCCACCTGGGCTCTGGAGCAGTCAGTTGGTTGTTTTGCTCATGTATGCTAAGCAGAGCCCTGTTTTCCTGGGGTGATGGTAGCTCTGTGGAATGCAGGCTAGGCGGGGCCATCTGCCAAGCTATCTCTGACCTCTGGGTAACATTCCTGGGCCCTGTTGTATCTTGTGCCAACTTCTCTGCCTGCGCTGTGCATGCTTGCCACAAGAGGCCTTCAGCTTTCCGTGGTTTCCTCCCCAGAAAGGGCTTCCCTTCTTTAGTCAATACCTATGTCTGTGGTCACTTGCAGGGCTCTACTGCAGATAGCATGGGCACTGGGAATTTCATGGATGCTGCAGGGAAAAACCTTCTATCTACCCAACCATGGTCTTAGTGACTGAAGCCTTCTGTCCTCATGGTGATTGGCTCAGATGACAGCTGGGGAGGAGTGTTTTTCTGACCAAATTTTTTTGTGGGGGTTTTGGCAGATAGCGATGATTTGTAGAAACCTACAAACCCTTCACGAGAACTGGCTGGGCATGATGAAACTTTTGTGGGAACTGTTTCTCAGCTCCTGCAGCTTCTGGTAAGAGACCCACCCACTCTAGAGCAGCCAGCAGGCAAAGTAGTAAGGGCACTCAGCTGGGATGTGGGAGAACTTGTTTTAAAGCCCTGTTCTGCCTCATTTAAATCAGGGCCTTGAAACCTGAGTCTCTCACATCCCAAGTGACTGTCCCAACCAGTTGGCTACTATGGGGTGGATCTCTCTCCTGTTGGAGCTGTTCCACTTGGGTCAGAGAGGAGCGATTGCATAGCTCTGAGCACTCACATAAGCTGGGATATGAGAGACTGAGCTCCCATATCCTCCTGAACTGAATGGGGCTGGGCAAATGCTTGAAGCTGGGGCTTGAACCACCCATGGACTATTGGCTACGTGCTGGTGGGTGCACTACCTTTATTTCTGTTTTGGCCCAGTGTGAAATGGGAATGTTTGCACTCAGCAACATTTTTATGGGCTGGGAAAACTTTCTCCATCCAGCTCAAATTCTGACCCTCAGCTCACCAGTGCCTGATGGTTGTTACCACATGATGGCTAATAGGCAACCTCTCCAAAGTGCATTCAGTTGCCATTCATTTCCTAGCGTAGTGGGGGCCAATTCTTTTGGCAACTATGCTACAAATTAGCCTCATACCCTCCGCTGAATGCCGCTTAGGCCCCTTTTCTCTGCCTGATCAGCTCTCTGCTTTCTGTTCCCTGCCCTGCGCTCCCTGTCTTTATTTGCTTCTCTTTTCTGCTCCCTGCCCTATCTGCCACAGTTGCCTGTACCCTCTCTGGTCTGCCACATGCCACACAGAGGCTGCCTGTGCCACTTGTGGTTGACCACCCTGTCCTAGCAGGAGAAACCTAGTCATGGCTGGTGCTAATTACCAGTGCTGGTGTCCATCACCTTAGGAAGGCAGTGGGGTCTAATGTGACAGGAAGACTGGATGGTCTTGCCTTTCATAGATTTCATAGGCATTAGGGCCAGAAGGTACCTCCAGAAGATCATCGAGTCCGGCCCCCAAAGAGTTCAGCCCCCAGCTATTTAGAGATAACTGAAGCACAGTATGTAGGTAGGGCAGTGGTTTTCAAATGTTTTAGACCCCACGCAATGCTTGGAAAATGCCAGCTCTTTGTTTTCACTTTTTTTTTTTAAAAGAACTGGCAGCTGGGG